ATTAAGAGGCAATTTAAAAACAATATATCTTACCGTCTACAATAAATAAGGTGAGAAAAGCATTAAACAGATTACACCATCAGTATGTACTGGTCGAAGTTAACAAAGCAGCAATCAATGTCTTTGCTTGTAAATCTCATTATTTTAAGTGTACGTATTTTGAAGACTGTAAGTTGTAATTATATTGAAATATATGGAGATAACGAACATTATTCAAGTCCAAAAGTCCATAAAACAATACAAAACAGGAGCAGAGCAAACATGGACCTCCGAAACATCAGAGGTTGGATCAGGTGCCATGGAGAAGTGAGCATTTGCTGCCGACCGGTCATACCCGCCGTGTGCTCCTTGACATTATCCGGAAAATACGGAAATATTCGTCGTGAAACGTTCAATTCAATGTATAAACAATGGACCAACAATTAGTATGAGTATCACTTATACTCATAGTTTCACATTATTTTAGGGTTGAGAAATTTTGAACTGTGATTTTAGAGCACAGTATACAAGTCAGAAATCTGGGCAATTTTCATAATTTTCGGCCATGGTAAAATTATTTCACATATCATGTTACCCTGCGTTTCTTTTCCCTTTCAGTATATTACAAAGCTGATCATTCCAAAAAAGGAATCCCTCATTTCAGTGTAAAGTTTTATCTGCAATACACTTTTTGTATTTACACATTGTGTGATAGACAAAGCACATCAAAGCGAAATATATTAAATTTTCTTGTATCAAAAACAATAATTTATCCTAGTATGCTCATAAATCCTAATTTTTCTCGTCAAACTATGTTTTTTACTCTTCAGATCACTATACATATCTGTATACAGGTTCCAAAAAAGCCCTGTTCACCACATGCAAAACAAATTGTCATCGACATAAAAAAAAATGAACTGGTATTTATCACTCACTTCATGCCCAATAGCAAGCATTCAGTCGGAATGAAGCGTTAGATGGGCCAATAGATTGCCATGATTAATATAGACCCGCTGTAGAACACTTCCACTGATATATACATGGCTTTTCCTGTAATTAAAGGCATAATCAGGTATAAGATACAAATACCCTCTCTTCTGATAACCACGTAATGATCCCTAGTCCTTAGGCTGTGTATCTTTATACTACAGAGGAGAATTAATTTGCATTTGGTCATGATATGGTTGTCTGGGATGTGACTGATACTTTAGCGGATTTCAAAGATTGAGGAAATGCTAACTTGTTCATAAAGAATGTCTTTCCCAGCAGGCACGCAACGTTGTTTCAACGTTGAAAGGTGGTGGAATATAAGTTGCAACGTTGACCCACTATATTTCAACGCTGTTTCTATGCTGCAGTTTCATCGTTGAATCCTCAACTTTTTTCAACGTTGAAACAACGTTGAATATGCAACATATTTTCAACCTTGAATGTTTATCAATATTCCAACGTTGAAAAAACGTTTACGCTGCAATATATTTTCAACGTTGAATATTCGTTAATATTTCAACGTCGAAAAAACGTTGGATATTCAAAATATTTTCAACGTAGAGTATTTTCTGCTATTTTAGAGTTGAAACAATGTTTAAGGCCATTTTCTTTAATTTATGACATCCATTCTATTTATATGAATTTCTAAAAAAATTACATCTGAAAGTCTTAAGAATATAGTGCAAAGTTTATATAAAGAAAAGGAAAATTTCCAACACTTTTCTACAAAATATTCAATGGTGAATGAAAATATTATTGATGTTTTATAACATGGCCATTCAGTCAACTGAATGATCGCTGAAAGGTCCAGAAAGGTTCCTGAACGGAACAAGCTATGCTTCTCCGTCACTTCTCAGTACACAGTCTCCTTACAGTAAGCTGTCAGGTACCTATAAGTAGAGGTTAAGTCAATTTTCAGTTAACCGTCAGTTACCTATCAGTAGACGTTCAGTCTCCTTACAGTTGGCTTTCAGTTACCTGTGTAGACGTTCAATCAATTTTCTATTAACTATTAGTTACCTATCAGCAGATAATCAGTCACTTTTCTATTTAAACTATTAGTTACGTATCAGTGGACGTTCAGTCACTTTTCTATAAACTGTCTGATACTTATCAGTAGAGGTTCAGTCACTTTTCTATTGACTCTAAGCCACCTTTCAGTAGTCACCTTTCAATCAGTGGAATGAATATCATCCTTTGTATGACAATATCCATAATTTGTATGACAAATGCTTTTTAATCTGTCAGTCTTAGATTACTTTCCTTAAAATCATATTATTATTAAAACTGCATCGAGGAAAATCTCAATCATAGCTTTAAAATTCGTTTTTATCTTTCAAGAAAATATTCAATTACAAAAACGTTTGTTTGTTATCATTCTTAGCTTTGTGTAAAGTATATTACGTACAATAATTTGCTGCATGTAGAAATCTATAAGAAACCAGAAAATAATTACTCTCTGATTAACAGCTATCCCCATGGGAATCTACTCCAGTTAAACGCTTGATGAAATGACAGTCGATGACCACCAAATAATGTCAATGGACTAGATGTTTATTGCTTGTAAAACAATTACGAAGCAGATGGATTTATTTGGTGGAACGTCCTATGCATATTTGCATATTAGTTGAATCGAGTGAAACATTAAGTGAAATCGCAATAATTTTGATATGACTGCATCTGGTTAAGGATTTGTACTCATGGGTTAACAGTTGTTGATGTTGTTTCTTTCTTATGACGATGAACTCTTGCACTATGCATCACAACAAAGACCAATTTTTTTCGCGTTTGCCTTGAAATTCCGTCCATGGCGTCATGATGTGCATATGGCAGTAATATACCGATGTCTTACCTCATTCATCTTACATTTCTTAGAATCCATATTTATCAATTTATCGGAATCAAAATAAATTCTGAAGGTATCAAATGGTGTGGAATATAAGCCTTAAACGTATTTTCCACTGAACGAACAAATTGAAAGTTGTTGAGTATTTGAAAAAAATGGCATAGTTGATAGTATTAAAAGAAACATAAAAATGAAAATACATAAATAGATTTTAAAAAATCCCCAAGATTTCTAAGTGCTGAACTAAGATACAAGAACATGATTTTGTCCTTCCCTGGAACGGGGGAAGAGGCTAAGGCACAAATTAACCTTTATTGTCACAAGAATCAACCAAAGGAACGTATTCGGAAACTTTCTAAATTCGTCGCTATTGTAGAGAAATTCAATCAGCCCTCTTTTCTAACGAATTTGGCGTGCGGGTCTATCATTTGAACAGCCAATTTAGAGGATTTACTGTGGGCTATAATAATAATTTAGGAGACTTTTTCTAAGAATTATCGGCCATGTTCACCATCCATTGTATAATTTCCCTGTTTTATCGTACGAAAATCATTCGTTATGTGTTACTTTTGGAATAAGCAATTCTGTGAAAAAAAAATAACTGTGCAATTCTTTTTTTCAGAGTTCTTTCTGCCAGGCATTTGTCAACCGGAATTTCCACATTAAATAGTTTAAGAAAAAATTAATAAAAAAATATTCTCTTTGAGCATTTTTATTTATGTTTTTAATCTTTTGTCTCTGTTGCTGCAACAATTTAATGTGATTGATATCTTGCTTCGCTGTATTATTCAAAATAGTGATATTAAATGTGAGGACAATCTCATAACTTGCAACATGTGTCTTGATTACATTTTGTATTAAGAATAAGTTGCTACTTATTATTCTTAAGATGTTAATACCAAGTAATTAACTTGTGTTCTATCAAATCAAATTATACATGTATCCAAATTATAAGTGTTCAACATTTAAATACATATCTTTATTATTGCATGTCGACTTTTTCTTCCATTGATGATATTATTCAAAACTTAGTCCATGTTAATACAATCAATTTGTCAGAATAATCTACATACACACAGCAGTGTGCTCAAATGCTCTATGGCCAAGACAAAAATAATCACTAACAAGATATACTAGTAAACAATTTTAATTCCAAACGAATCAATTGAGTTTCTATCAATGTCAGTTATTGCCATTGAAAGGATGGTGTTATATGTATTATATTTTAAACGTAAGACCTAAGATTCTAAGCGTATTCTGCCCACTTGCGCCCTGCTTTTTTAGGACTTTAATTGAGCTTGCGCTGAGATTATCAGAGCTTTTTGAAAAAAAGGGCTTTGATGCTCTAACTTTTTGGCAGCCTGTCCTTGTGGCGTCTTTAAACTTTACAAAGACTTGAAACTTGTCCTGTCCTTAACGTTTTTTTGCTAGTCGTCATGTCATCTGAGGTTTTAAGAAGTTCTTTTCTGTACACATGTAGAAATTTTCAGATACAAGTTTTTGGCACACATAAAATTGTGTTCTGGCCCTTTGGTATGACCTAATATTTTTCAATTGAATACGTGTATTAAAATAAGCGAATTTGCTGTATACGAGAACTCAAGTCTATGTTCGCATTAAGTCACACAGCCATTAGCAACTATTTTGATTATATTCAAGTTTTTATTTTTTTCTATTATGCATTCTGTCACGTTTTGAATGGAACATATGGCACATATGGAGATAACGAACAGTATTCAAACCCAAAAGTTCATAAAACGATACAAAATGGGAGCAGAGCAAACACGGACATCCAAAACATCAGAGGTGGGATCAGGTGCCATGGAGGAGTAAGCATCCTCAGCCGACCGGTGACACCAACCGTTTGCTCCTTGTCATCATCTCAGGAAAATTCTCATTGATAAAATTTGTTATTCTGTTTTAATAGATGTTTATATATGAAGGTGGTTTATAAACAGGGTTAAATAGTCAAGAATTGAAAAAGCTTAGTTTTCTATTTTTACACAATTTTGATAAAAGAGAATTGTGATTCACAAACATGTGTGCATTTATGTCTTATAATAGTCAAAGCAAAGCTACGTCTTTTACACAATTTTCATTATTTATGTACATGTATACCTAAAGTAAACAAAAGAAAAATCAGAGCTAAATTCTTAAAAAGATTTTATTTTTATTTAATGGCATGAACATGATATCCATTCTTAGAAAAGGTTTCTTCATACAGAGTTCCAATTGAAAAAAAAATGAAAATCGAACCCTTATTTGATCTACGTGTATTTTTTCTATTTATAGATACAACTGTACATGAAATGTTATTTTTCTCTGCTAACCAAGGGGTCTGTTAATAATCAATATTAATTAAGCACGGCTTTTATTTGATCTATTTAATTAAGGACAGACGTTTGGGCTTGTGACATCTGATCCACCAAGGTGTATGTTGTATTCGACACCATGGTAGACTGCGTGCGCTTCTGCTTCCATGGCAACATCTCTCTATGTTGATTCCATTTTCGTTTTAGTAGTGAATGAACCTAAAAACGAAATACAAAGTGTGTAGATATCATTTTGTCTGTTTAACAAAGTCTAGTTTTTTAGTGAAGAAAATAAAGTATTTAGCTTTTATTATTAGATTTCTTTTAATTGATTTTCTTAACATAAAAGTGTAAAAGTGAGTACTAAAAAATAACAACCCAAACCCAACGATATTTAAGTCAAATACACATACCATAAACTTCATTACAAAATGCATGCAAAAAATCCATATTCGTGTGGATGATTTAATTCAAATTATTTCCCCCATATTTTTAGCATTGCAAATAGCCGCTTCATTAATAATTGTAATGGGGAATTATTTTCAGATGCCAGCTATTTATGCGCCGGTTAAAAGCTATATCCAAATATATCAACGTGTAAAAAGACACATAAAACGCATTCCAAAATCAAAACAGAAAATCTTTTTTTCTGTTTTAAGCATTTTGCCCTTAGGTATCGACAAAACTCAACAAATAACACAGTTTACAAGATATTTATTGGTCCAAATACTAAAAGTTAAAAGAATGCAAATCATCGATTACATAGCTAGATTTTACGGAGTAAATTTCCTCCCAAAAGCTATCACTGAAACAGTTTTCACTACCACATTACAATTTGAAAAAGACAAAAATCTACAGGGTAAATTTCCTCTCAAAAATGACACTGATACAGTTAACATTCAGTAGTCAATTCAAAAGCGACTATCCATGACTAAATAAGGTTTTACGGAGTAAATTTCCTCCCAAAGAATATCACTGATAAAGTATTCACTACAACAATTACAATTTGAAAATAGCAAAAATCTAGAGAGAAAATTTCCTCTCTAAATGCACATTGGTGCATTGTACATTCAGTATTTCAATGCCAAATCAACCATCGTTTACATTGCTCCCAAAAATTTCTCTGATACAGTGTTCACTACTTTCATTACAGTTTGTTATAAACAAAAATCTAGAGAGTAAATTTCCTCTCTAAATTCACGTCGGTGTATTGTACATTCAGTATTTCAATGCCAAATCAACCATCGTTTACACAGCTAAATTTTAAGGAGTAAATTTCCTCCCAAAGAATTTCACTGATACAGTATTCACTACTAACATTGCAAATTAGTGCTTAAAAATCTACAGAGTAAATTTCCTCTCTAAATTCACGTCGGTGTATTGTACATTCAGTATTTCAAAGCCAAATCAACTATCGTTAACATAGCTGGATTTTACGGAGTAAATTTCCTCCCAAAGAATATCACTGATGCATTGTTCACCACTACATTTTAAAATAGAAAAAAAAATTCTACGGAGTAAATTTCCTCTCAAAATGCACGTCGCTGCATTGTACATTCAGTATTTCAAAGCCAAATCAACCATCGTTTACACAGCTAGATTTTACGGAGTAAATTTCCTCCCAAAGACTATCACTGATATAGTGTACACAACTACATAACAATTTGAAATTAGCAAAAATCTAGAGAGGAAATTTCCTCTCAAAATGACATTCATACAGTAAACATACAGTAGTCAATTCAGAAAGCGACTATCATTTATAAAACAAGACTTTACGGAGTAAATTTCCTCCCCAAGAATTTCACTGATAGAGTGTTCACTACTTACATTATAGTTTGTTATTAACAAAAATCTAGAGATTAAATTTCCTCTCCAAATTCACGTCGGTGTATTGTACATTTATTATTTCAATGCCAAATAAACTATCGTTAACATAGTTAGATTTTACGGAGTAAATTTCCTCCCAAAGAATATCACTGATACAGTCTTCACTTCTATCATTATTGTTTCTTTTAACAAAAATCTACAGAGTAAATTTCCTCTCTAAATTCACGTCGGTGCGTTGTACATTCAGTATTTCAAAGCCAAAGAAACCATCGTTTACACAGCTATTTTACAGAGTAAATTTCCTCCCAAAGAATATAACTGTTATAGTGTACACAACTACATTAAAATTTGAAAATAGCAAAAATCTACAGAGAAAATTTCCTCTCAAAATGACATTCATACAGTAAACATACAGTAGTCAATTCAGATGCGACTATCCTTTATATAACAAGACTTTACGGAGTAAATTTCCTCCCCAAGAATTTCACTGATAGAGTGTTCACTACTTACATTACAGTTTATTATTAACAAGAATCCAGAGAGTAAATTTCCTCTCTAAATTCAAGTCGGTGCATTGTACATTCAGTATTTAAATGCCAAATCAACCATCGTTTATGCAGCTAGATTTTACGGAGTAAATTTCCTCCCAAAGACTATCACTGATATAATATTCACTACCACATTACAATTTGAAAAATGCAAAAATATACAGGGTAAATTTCCTCTCAAAAATGACACTGATACAGTTAGCATACAGTAGTCAATTCAAAAGCGACTATCCTTGATGTAACAATATTCTACGGAGTAAATTAATCCCAAAGAAAATATCACTGATACAGTATTCACTACACCAATTACAATTTGAAAATAGCAAATATTTACAGAGTAAATTTCCTCTCTAAACCCATATTGGTGCATTGTACATTCAGTATTTCAAAGCCAAAGCAACCATCATTAACACTGTAACATGCTAGATTTCACATTCATTATTCGCAGATAGAAAATAAACATTATATATAGAAAACAGCAGAATATCAGAGGTTTAATTTCCTCTAAAAACTGTTTACAGGAAAAAACATACATTTTACATCTTATTAAAAAAAAGACTTTCAAGGGACATTTTTATCTCAATATACTGATGATTAAATACATTATTGTTTAATCTATAAATAAACAACAAAGAATCTATACAAACACATACAGTTTTTTTTATTTCAAGGCGTATTCAACGAGGGGAGGGGGTTCAGTGCGCATGCAGTAGCATGGTGATGTCACAAACAATATCTCAAAGTACGTTGAAAACTGTATTGTCCAGTCTATATCCGCGAAAAAAAAAGGTGAAGGAGGCAAGTCCCTCTCGTGATTATTGTCGAATAGTTTGATTTCAAACACATCTATCACATTTACTTTCTTTGACCCAAGCGATACTTCTATGCCTTCCTTAAGGCTGATGCCATTGAACACTTGCTGAATGCATTCCCAACATGTCCAAAGGAAATATGGCCGTCATATTTTGAACAAATCCATAGATGACCTATTGATAAAATTTTTTGATTCGTAAATCATCTCATATAATTGTTTTCAAACTTTCAATTTTTCAAAACTCATGGGCATTTATTTCTTCATGCATGCCGGATTACATAATGTGCACCACAGTCGAGCAGTGTTGCTTGTACAATTTTTGTAAAATCGAAAAATAGTTTTTTCCGTTGGTTTTCCGTATGAAAATTTCATTCATCTAAAGAACACGTACATATACCCTCAGTCTACACACACGTTTAGACAAACTAAGACAAGATAGATTTTATTTGAGAATGATATCTCTTTATCATATAAATCCAGATCAAACATGTATACTAATGCATGAAACACAATTTGCATTCAGATGAGTTCAGACAGGACATATGCTATTAAAACACGTATTACTACCGCCATTAATTTTAAAAGGTTCAGAGAGGTTAATGATAACATGTACATGCATGCGGGTAGTTTTACTCCAAATAAAATGATCGCTAAAGTGTTTATTTAGCATTTCACACAATAAAGAAAGCAACACCTTAACCAAGGATCGAAATCCTCATGAACTGTAGTTAAGGTTAGAATTCATCTGAAGACACTACCTTAATTACACTTCATCATAACATACACATAATTATATAATTGCAAATTTACCTTTATTCTTCAATGTTTGGTCTTGGTTTCCTTATTTCTCCATTCATCAGAAAAGAGTCACTTTTATACCCAGTCGTCACTTAAACCACTCCTGAAATAATTGTGTTCACAAAATGTGGGGCAGTGTAACTTGGATTTCTTTCTCTAACTTGTTTCGTGTTCTCTGTGACTTTGAAGCAGAATGCAAATATCCGATGCCGCCAATTTCAAAACTGCCATTCACACAAATCTTATATATGTAGGATATGAAACGGGAAACGGAAAAATAAGCTGTTTTAACACAGAACTTAAAAACAAATCCATCGTTTTCAAGATAAATGAATTAGGTTGTTGTGAGAGAAAATTGTGATAGTCTAATGACTTCTCATCATTTAACCATTTTCATTTCCGCTGTGAATCCCCGCTGTTACACTTGTAATCAACCCTTTGTATTGGATAGAGCTGCGGCCATGTCATAATAAACTGGCCTAAATTAAACTGTAATTTCAACATTTTCTCACCTCCAAAATCTAAGCTTGTGAAACGCACTAGTTGCCACATTATTACTTACAATTTGTTGATATTTAACATTATACTCTGTTGTGAGTGCATTAACCTAATCTACTTGTGTCGTAGTATTTATTATTTTTTGTAAATACATATGAAATATGCGGTTCCAAAGATCAGGAAGATGTGAAAAAAATCACGGACAATTATTCCTTTTCGATGATATATCTACACTTACACAATGAGATTAAAAAAGAGAAAATAAGCTTTATAAAAACACTTATTTTTGACAATAGAACTCTAATATTTTAAATGATTTGCTATCTTTATGCCAGTGTCTTTCGATCCTATTGTAATTTATTATTTACAGTTAATTGGATGTCAGACTGCAAAAATTGTAAAGAATGATTGTAAAGATTTAATAAGATATATATTATTTTATGTAGCGTAATTACAGTTACACAATCTGTCTATTTCATGTATTTCTTCTTTTTTAATTTAAACATGCCTTTTTAAAACTTTTTACACTAACACTGTACAATTTGTATATTCAAAAAATTTAAAGAAATATAAATGTATTATGTAATCACTTCACCATATAATCCCTACACTATGCAATCATAGGGGAACTTGGATAAGGCCGAGATTATCTTTTCTTTTTCACAGGCTGATATCGATTATTTTTATTAAGTTGAATTCCCGAGTGTTTAAGAATTACTCTCTTTGAAATATTT